ACTGTATTTATGTATTCATAATAAAGGGTTTTAGGTTAGATCGCATAGGTGTGTCGTAACCCTCCACCACCCGACACAGCCAGTAAGATTTGTCACGTAAACAACGCGCCAATGAGTTACTTCAGCCCACCGGTGTGCTGGAGTGTAAATCCACAACATTTACATTGTGAATACGATTCGCTGGTAATTACATCCAGCTTAATCGGGGAAATTATTTTAATAATATTCATCGCAAAAAGCCTACGTGCCAAACTGTATTTATTTACACCGGAGCAATCCGCTGAGCTCTCAAGCCCTTCCTTCTTTCACAGATATCCAGTCGTGGGTCATGTGTGTGGCACTGGGGGAGGGCCATCTGTTGAGGCGGGCGTTGGAGCGGTCTCCACGAGTCCAGCGATCGGGGGTGGGAAGACCCTAAGACGAGATGGTGGGAGACTGTGCAGCCGCTGCAGAGGGCTGGCGGATGGCGGAAAGCGTTGACGAGGAGCGGCGGCATCGGCGGAGTCGACGGCTTTGGCCGGCGACGACGTCTTGATGAGAGAATATACATTGCACACTAGAATGTGCACGCGTACTGCGTAACATCGCGCATTAAACCAGCCCTCTTAGCGTTCACACTGAAATAACTCACCTCACCTCAAATAAGCATGACTTTTTTTTTATTATTCCTATAAAGCTGTTAAGGCAAAATAGCACGTGTGTACACCTTTTTTGTGTTACATAAAAGGCAAATAAATACATTTTAAACAAAATATTTACATCATTACATCACTTATTGAGCTGTTTGAGACGTTTTCAGTTAAACATTATATTCACGTATCTGTTTATGCACACACACGCGTTTTAATTTTCATGTTACCAATACATCCCTTTGTATACACAATACATGCACAACTATACAATCACGCCCTTTTGTCGATCCACTGCTGGACGAAGGCCCAACTGAACGCAAGGGTCAATAGGTCAGAACGCAGCCGTGCCACACTGCTGCTTCGAAGCAAAACGGGGCACCTTTTGGTCATTTATGGTGCCTTAGAAAGGTATAGATTGGGTGCTGGACACGTACACTTGTTCAGAACGGAGGGCGGCAACATTGAGATAGAGAAAATAACTTCACCATTGCGTTGCCTCAAAAGGAACGCCGCATTTCAAGACGGGTAATACTGTACATTGACAGTGTTTAGTTTGCGGATATTTGGTCGTGAAGATAACCAAAACGCATACGTTGATGTTATGTTTTGATACCTTAAAGATGGAGATGTATATATACTGCATCGTGTATCGCTGAGATCATAAAAATGCTTCATTGGAGCTGCATAAAAGGCATATGCGTGTCTCTATCCTGTCTATTCCAAACACCAATGCCACCTTGCCAACCCACGATTTGATAAAATCAGGGGACTTCAATCAATCTGCATTTTACTTGCCAACGTCGCCCTCAAAAAAGTAGACACCAGTGCAGACTTGAGTTTGAAATGAAGAGCTGCAGATTACGTTGAGTTTGGATGAATCTGAGTTTGGTTACAATGGTTTCCGTTGTTGTGAACATGAGCAGGAATATTGTTTTCCCTCCCCAAGTGTGCGAACTTGATCGGCCACAATGGAGTACAAAAGGTAAAGGCGAAGCCCTGCAGTTCCATGCTCACGCCACTTCTGGCAGAAGGGCCTCCATCAGAGACAGCTCCAGAGAGCCCCTTTGAGGGATATTGTAATACGGTGGGGGGGCTTTTGGAAGATTTGCTGGTTTATCCAGGATGTTTCTGTTATGCGTCGTCGCTTTAATATATTTTGTTTGTTGCGGTTGCACCCGACTCAAGAGCCGCATGGCTCACAGGGATATACCTAATAAATGAAAACTTGATATGTTCGTCCTGGATAGACGTGGGAGAACCCACACACTTTACTCCCACCATAGGTGAGCTCCTGATCGACTAACTGGCTGTACCCCTTTATATTGCTGGGTGGACGAAGGCACGGGGGATTTAAGAAACTTCGACATTCGTTTAAACTCCCACGCGAGCACAGTGAGATGGCGATTCCTGAATTGCAAGTCCAGTGCGCTAACCTTTACACCACAGCAGCATCCCATCTCACTATATCGTATTTGAAAAAAATCCGCGAGGTTGCTTTGTGATCGGCTGACTGTGCATCGACAAAATTCAGCCATCGGCGCGTTGCCTATTGGTGCCGGAGTGCTTCAGGACATCACAGTCATCTTTTCTCGGCACAACCAGAATGAGCGTGTGCTATATCCTGTTTAATGTGCTGTATTAAACCCAGTGGAGATGATAAAAACATACAAATGCTCATATATCACATTGCATTAAAAGACGTGGAAGTATTCAGTTCTGTTATTCATCTATGTATTAAATATAGGACAAATTGAGGTTCTGAACACCTCCAGGCGTCAGCCCTATGACTATTGGTTGCTTGAATCGGGTGTAGTTTTCGTAAATTTCAAATAGAAAAAAAATGACGGCACACCTTTCTCTTTCCAAGACACATTCGTCTTCAACGACCTCTACCAATAATGACCGCGAGGCATAATTCCACTGCCGTGTAACGTCAGAATGCCGGCACACTTAAGTACAAAACTAGAGTTGTTGCAAGAAATACAATAAAACAATTCACAGAGCGATACAGTATCACATGTCACGATAGGCGATTATCGCAATATCAGTTTCCCCTCGGCTATGTTTCACGTCGCTGTACGTATGTGCATTGAGCTTCGTTTGCACCGTACGTAGCCAGCCGTGCTAATCAGAGGTGGCTCTGCTTGTATGCTTCCAGCACTAATAAAGATTACGAAAATGTTCTTCAACTGCAGTTCACTCAACCCAAGCCTGCCATATATATTATAGTCGTTGTGACGCCACAATCTGGAAAGCTTATGAAGCACATCAGTCAGGCATTCGATTTATCTCGAGTAAGGCACACTGAGCTAATAAGCTACTTTTTTCAACAGCTACCCAGCCAAAACGGCTGACGCGGGAATGTTATGCTGTTAGTTGCACCAAAACGAATTAAACAATATATAAATGTACTTCAGCAACGACGACATCATAGAATTGGCATTACGTCGATAACTCTGAAAAAAATTGCTAAGTCATAATTTACCCGATAATACCGCAACTTATTTACAGCTTTAATATTTGCGTTTGTTATTTAATAAATATTTGTCAGAAAATAGGATGCCTTCGAAAAATAAAATGAGCAACGGTAATATTCAGATACAATAATTGGCAATACGATGATCGTTAATCTTAATATATAGTAATATACGATATATAGTAATATACTTCGCAGCATTACCTTATTGCAACAAACCCTGAACAATTACATGTTGGAAAATGATAAGCTACTTGACTCATTCAACGACAGTTTGTTAGGAAATTTTCATTCAAATAGGTTTGCTTATTTCTCCAACCCAACCCATTGATTGTAAAGTGCATTCTCCTGCTATAATTCACTTGGTCTCACTGCCCTCCCTCTCTGCCTATGCAACAAGACTCCGGACTGAAATGTTCACCGAATGTGTCCATGTTGTGTGTTGTGTTCCTGCATTGTCGCCCGATGAGATGCTGCATGTACTTACCAGGGAAACGTCACAGCACTCAAATTGGAAATGTACATTCACTCTCCCAACACACCGGTGGGCTCAAGTCGTAACTAAATGGCACGTTTTGTTTACGTGACAAACCTTACTAATTGTGTGTCGAGTGGTGGCGGATTAATTACACTTTATACTTACGCGATCTAACCCATTCACCTTTATGAATAATATTGGTCGCGAATACCTACGCGTCAAATTGTGTGTGTGTGTGTTATGTTGCCACTCAATCTGTGCATGGAGAAGTGAAGTCTCCGTTTTCTGGGATCGTGCCCATCAATTGATCACTTTTGGTGTAAAAGTCACCTGCTGAGAATCACTTTAGCATCGGTTCATATTTACAGCTTTGCTCAGGATCCCCTCCGATCCTTCTCTGCATCTAGGCCTCTACGACAGCAGCTGTTCTCAGAGTGCAGTCCCCGGTACCACCGGTGAGTGGTCCGCAACAGTCCTCCACGTGGTCCACGGGGCTGTGATGCAAACGCAGAGGTTGATCCGGATAATATTATTTAGTTTCGGACATGAATTTATATTTTACTCATATTTAATTTAAGAAATTAAATTAGGTAAACTACGCTGATTAAACTACCCTAACTCTAAGATCTAAATGCCCTGCCCCCCTAAAAAAAATGTTCCGGTAATATTAAATGTTTCTTATTTATGGTATTTAGAGATAAGTGAATGCGTCTTGTCACCAGGGGTGGGAGGCTGTGTAGTCCGTGGAAATGTTCACATTAGCTGAGTGGCCAAACAATTTTGAGAACTGCCCCACTCTACGATGACTATGTCTGACTGTAATGTATCAATATATATGTAATTCTTTGTTGTATTAATAAATTTAAGCATTGAGGGGGAATAACCAAACCCAAAAGAGTCCACCATTGTCCAAGGCATTTGCAAACGGTGAAATTTTATCTGGGCCCTGTTGTATCTACTGTTATAGATGTTCAGCTTCGTTGAACAAACAGGTAGATACTGAGGGATTGTCTTTAAACTTGCAGTGTTTCAGTTTAACAAGCGACTATAACCAGGAGGCGTAACCTTGAAAATAACGAACGTCAATTTCGAGCGGCACCCGCAACTGAATTGCGTGTGTGCAACAGTCAGTTTGAAAATGCAGAAGTTCTAAATTTCAAGGATTGCAGAGTAAGGTTCGTTCTTTATAACAAATGTCATAACCTCCTACTGAAAAAACTCAACGAGGATATATCTTAAAAATTGAGGGTGCTGCTTTGGCGAGATGTTAACTACCTCGCATGGTATACAGGAGGTCGTGGGTTCGATCTCGACCCTGATGCTTGTAAATTTGGAGTTTGCATGTTCTTCCCGTAGTCCGGTGGATTTTTCCTTCCACATTTAAAATGAACGTGCGTGTTGAGTATTTGGCTGCTATAAATATTCACGTGATAAACCACTTTGTTGAGCTATTATTTGTGATAGCTAGGTCGCTTCGGAAAAAGAGCTTTAAAGCTCAGTGGGGCCTTACCTGGTAAAAGAAAAAATACAATTAGTTTTGCTTTAGTTTAGAAAACTTCCTGAGCCAGGAGGAGAGATATATATTTGTTTAAAATATTATTAAGAGATGCATTCAGAAGACATGCGAGATAGATGTATTCACAGGAAAGAGAAGATATGCATTTAATTTAGAGAAAATGATGACGATTGAAATGTATTCAAATAAGAAGGTAAATTCTAGGCGATATTTGCACTGCATTGATACGAGATAGGAGAGCTCTTCATAACGCATAGAGAAGAGAGGTATAGGGGCAGAGATGGGAAGAAAAACTATAGGATGTACTGCATTCATAATTGTTATACTTGTGCACTACTATTTAACTATACTTTACAATACTGGTTCGAGAGAAAAAAATATATATAATAAGTGGCGTTTCGGGCAGTGGCCCTTCAAAAGACAGTGTCATTGATGAAGGTGGACAGCGCTCAGACAGTCTCGTCCCTTCACCTGATGAAGGCCGCTTGTGTTGTGGCCGAAACGTCGTGAGAATTTTATTGTGTTATTTTATTTTATCAATGTATTATTTTATTCTCATTCTACGTGACTTTACCGAAAGAACCAAGGAAGAAGGTGAGTTTGTTATCATTTGTGCGTGTGTTCCACTCCCAACGCAGCAGCATCACCGAATAGTTTTGAAAGTTAAGGTAGGGGGCATGTATATGGGGAGCAAAGAAGTATAGTACTTACTAACAGTACAAGAGTGGATGTTATTTGCACTGCTGCTGCTCACTGTGTCGCTCCACAACCTAAAACGTCTGTTTTTCATGGTGGTCACCTGTCCAAGCACTTTACAGGATAACTCTGCTTAGCGTTTCTGAGATTGACAAGATCTGGCACATTCCAGGTCAATTTGCTCATGGCCAGGAATAGAGATAAGGTGTATAGAGATTAAATGAGAGAGATGTTTATTCAGAATATGTAGAATGTAGATAGCAGGTCTATGAAAATAAAATGTGTTACAGTACTCATCAAATGTCCTGCTATTTGAAGGCTTGACTCGGGACTAAAATATTTTAGTCATACATCATTAACACAAATATACAACCACCACATGCCTACAAAGGCTACAAGCACTTAATGGTATCACGAAGCCTTGTAAAACAATTCATTTGATAGAAAAAACAAGTGGAATTAATCCACTTTAAGTTAACAGACTTTCCGTAAAGTGAAACTCATGGCCAGATAACAGCTGGATCCCAATCCAAATTAATATTCACCGACGGTTATTTTTAATATTACGTTTAAAGGCTAAGTTTTAATGTTAAGTTTGAATAGTAAGCTTTGGATAGTGAGTTTGAATAGCAAGTTTGATTGGTAAGCTTGAAGAGTAAGTTTGGATAGCAAGTTTACATGACACGTTTGATTAGTCTGCTGGAACGGGAATTTTGAAGAGTTAGTTTGAGTGGTAAGTTTTCCGAATAAGTTCTTCATTGAATGACGCCGCCGCTGGCCGGGTTAGATGGAGCTTGTACCGCCGCCGCCGTATTACACCAGGGTGTGGACAGCTCTACTCCAGCCAGGTCACAGGGAGTTACCGTCGGTACATTCTGCACAGTAGCATGCAAGCTGTCCCAGAGCGTTGCCTCCATGAGCTTGGTAGGGGTACTGCAGCCTGAGCTCTGGCTGGTTGGGCAGCACGTGCTCCATGTAGTAGAAGATGAGCTCCTGCAAGGTCTTGAAGTGCAAGCGCAACTTATTATCCAGCCATATCTTCGGACCCTGCAAGACAACAACATCCAGGCGTGAACATTCACCTTGAAATTGAAATAATAATACTTATTGTTATAAAAGGCTGCATTCATCCAGGAAATCCTCACCGATCGTCAAGATGAGACAACGGTTTAGGAAGCGGCGGAGAAAACATGATGACAATGGCACTTCAAGACGCCTCTACAGTGGGAATCACCGGCCATTCCTACTGCAGGAAATGGCCGGCTAATTTCATTAGGGTCGTAAAGGCTCGTTTTTCACTATCGGAATATTTTGGTCGAGTCTCTAATGTGTGTTACGCATGGGAGGAAACTTTAGTGCCCAGAAAAACTCCACCCTATGGTAGGTGACAAGGTTACATAGTTCTGTTCCAGATTTAAAGCTTTCGTGACTGCAAGGATCCATACTCTTTGGTTCTATTCGGTAAAGTCACGTAAGTAAAAAATAAAACAAAAATCACGACGTTTCGGCCACAACACAAGCGGCCTTCATCAGGTGAAGGGACCAGGCTGTCTCGAGGACAGCGCTGGAGTGAAACACAGCCACGCTCAGACCGCGACCTTTAAGCTGTGTGCGAGCAAACAAGGTGCCTTGACAAAGGAATTAGCATAAAAATTAGCATTTGATTGGCCGACTTAGCATGATGAACGGTGTAGAGGTGGTGTACATGCGGGTGAACATGCCGGTTGGCGAGGGGGGGAGGGGGAGTTTACCTATTGATGGTGTGAAAAGGTAATTTTTAAGAGCTGCGAAAGTTTGGGGTACCACTACTTGAAAAATATACTGTACCATTGAAAATTAGTTTAATGTTTGGTTCGATTTAGAACAGATCTGAATTGCCTCGTGAACAAATCTCTGTTAAAAAAACCCGTGGGTTTGCAAAGAACCTTGGTATCAGAGAAAATTATATCGTGATCACCCACAGCATTGTAACAGTGATCAACTACGGCAGAAGAATTCGTTCTGCCGTGTTTCAAATCTGATTTGTGCTCGCGAATTCGGTCAAAGACATGTCGCTTTGTCTCCCCGATATAGCAATCACCGCAGGTACAACTCAATTTGTAAACCCCGGGGTACTGATCACTGTACAACGCTGTGGGTGATCACGATGGGTGATCACGATATAATTTTCTCTGATACCAAGGTTCTTTGCAAACCCACGGGTTTTTATCAAAGATTTGTTCACGAGGCAATTCAGATCTACAAACACAGACACAATTTCAACCGAGAAGATGGTTTCAAATTAAGCAACCATTGGAAAGATGTTCTAAATGGAACCAAACATTAAACTAATTTTCAATGGTACAGTATATTTTTCAAGTAGTGGCACCCCAAACTTTCGCAGCTCTTAAAAATTCCCTTTTCATACCATCAATAGGTAAACTCCCCCTCCCCCCATCGCCAACCGGCATGTTCACCCGCATGTACACCACCTCTACACCGTTCATCATGCTAAGTCGGCCAATCAAATGCTCATTTTTATGCTAATTCCTTTGTCAAGGCACCTTGTTTGCTCGCACACAGCTTAAAGGTCGCGGTCTGAGCGTGGCTGTGTTTCACTCCAGCGCTGTCCTCGAGACAGCCTGGTCCCTTCACCTGATGAAGGCCGCTTGTGTTGTGGCCGAAACGTCGTGATTTTTGTTGTTTTATTTTTTACCTATGTGACTTTACCGAATATAACCAAAGAGTATACATAGTTCTGGTCCCACTTGTAAAAGAAAAAAAAAGTAGTCTACATTGAATGAGAGAATTGCTGTTATATTTAAATCCACTGGGATTTGTTGCAAAAACCAGGTGCGGTTTTTAAATGTGCTGCGACAATAAACTGCAGTGTATAATAAAGCACATTTATTCTTCTCTGATACTAGCGAGCTTATAGCCGACTCACACAGCCGTTACTCACAACTGGCTTTGCTTGTTCAAATGAGGGCTGTGCCTGTCGTCCAAATAGTATTCGTGGAGTAAATCAATGCGTACGAGTGTAATTATCAAACCTCTTGATATATCTTGAAGTTTCTTATCTTCTGGGAATTTTCATCCCACACCATGAGGACCTGTGGAAGAATTGTTTCAGTCATAATACTCTACTGCAGAAAAGACAAAAATATAATCTCCAGTTCTGCAACCGTAGCCATTAAAGAGGATATGATTTAATTCAGAAGGCACAATGGGGCTGATGGAGGAATACAAGGGGGAGAAGTAATGATTGGGCTTTCTGTAACTATGGGAATGCATTGCACGTAGAGTATTCCTTCATTATTCCTAAGGGATACATTCTCGGGATGCTTGTGAATAGCATACTTCGCGTAAAATGACATTCCTTTAAATAAATACATAAGCGATTAAATACATACAAATTATCTCATCACTTTCACGCATCACATTCCCTCTCATCACTCTATCTCATAGCTTTTTCTCTCTCTCTCTCGATGCAGTAATCGTGTAGAGTTCCAGATGCGATTCGCGGATAGCCAACGTGGCGGATAGCAAGTTCGTGAATAACGAAGGAACACTGCATTGGCCAGTGCCGAGCGTCACCCTCTCGTACGCGTGGGGGTTTGTGAGTGCTATGTTCTTCCCCCCACATTCACAGAATTGAGCACACGTCTCAATGCAGGGTACTCCCGACAATGAGTTTTGGGAATCAGTGGGGCTTTCCAATGTTCACAATTGGCAATATTATTTAACATGATAAAACAGCTTCTATTTCACGGCCTTATCTACAACTCTTAATTCTCCATGGAGTTGGGTAGATCTGCAATATTCCCCGTTTTGTGAGACCAGTAACTGCTGTTATCTAAAAATCATGCACATGAGGAAGGGAGAAAAATGGGCTGCAGATGAACATTATAGAGCTTGCCCATTTTTACTTTCATCTCTGTGGGTCACATTCGCCACAGATGTGATTAAAATAGCTCCTCTGCAACCTCTCGATTATATTTGCTGCTACCGGGCATCATGACCACTGCCACCACCATCAATGGCGAATGATAACGAGGAGGATTATGTTGGACCAATGGACCAAGATGATTATGATGGACATCGATAATGATTGTTACTGCCAACGCCCCCCCCACTCGGCCACTGTCAATGACAAATTATAACGATGCGTTATGAATTATGTGATAGATGATGATGATGAAACTTGACAATCATCATTGCTGCTGCCATCGATGATGCACGATGACAGTGATAATGGTCGTCACTGTCCATTGCAAGTCATCATCCAGATTAACCACTGCTGCAGCTGTTCATGGTGGATCGTGATGATGATGGTCATTACTGCCTTGCCAGTAGCCACCGCCAGTAGCACTACCGCCATCATTATCCGTCACCATCCACCATTGTCATCATCTCTATCGATATGACAATCAAGTTCACCATTGTCTTCAAGTTCATCAACATCATTCCTCATCACACTGGCGGAGCCAGTGGGGGGGTGAGGTGGCACGTGCCCCCCCAATGATCCGATCGAAATCCCTAATTTCGATCGGATCATTGGGTTTTATTAGTAATAATTTGGCATTTTGCGACCCCCACTACCACTGTGTACCATATTATTATGTGTCAGGGACTCTATGAGATGATAGGACAATAGTCCGAGTCTATAATTGACAATAAGTAACGGCAAAGCAGTTATAAGTGATTCACATAATTGTGCGCAGTTGCGTATACAGTACACGACTTCCCTGAAGGCATTCACCTTCAGCGAGCGCAATGCCGACCGCCGCACACGCGTCGAATAAAAAGCAAGGGACAAGTCCTTACTTACTAACAACTCCTTACTTACTAACAGCTCTTTACTTACTAACAACTCCTATCATTTTTCATTGCTGGAGGGGTTGCCCCCCCTACCTGAAAATCCTGGCTCCGCCATTGCCTCATCAGTTACAGTAATCCATAATCTACCATCATTGCTCTATGACTTTATCTCTCAATCCTATTATTTTTCTAACGTCATTATACCATGTGCCTCCTTCAACCAGCAAAGGCTCGTATTTTCTGCAGGTGCTGATGTGACACTGTCCTATTATAGAACCTTTTCTTACCTCTCAACCCTCTCTCACAGCGCCCATAATGCTACTCTATCTTATTTGCGATTCTCATTCTGTATCAGAAAATGTTCATGAATAAGCGACATTTCATTTTGACCAATGCCCCAATTTTCACTTACTGTATAATATTTTCCTTTGCAGGGCAGTGTTACTGACAAATGTGTTGAGTTTTGTTCTCAATTGTTTTGCGCAAAAAACTGCACCAACCGTCGAGATGCGGCATGATTAGCCACCCAGTAAAGACTCGATGTAAACCATCATCACATGCGGCAAGCCTAAAAACGCCTGAAGAAGGCCGCATCAGCTTTGTGTTGCAGCCAGGAGCAGAAACACTTTGTGTCTTTTGATGTCTAAGCAGGGTGTGGCTCCAGCTCCTCTCGGATTGGGGGGCCAGTAGAACTGTTGTGTGGTGGGGCCACAATCGCAATGGTTCACTGCGGAGGTGGGTGAGCGTGGGCGGGCCAAAGGGACGAGTGGTGGGGCAGAGGGCACCACCCAGCAACCCCGTGGGCTCATTGACGGCATTGACGAAGAAGCCACCGGGAGCTATGCACTATTAAATCTAGATTGAAAACTCATTTTGTTTTAGAACTGCTGTTTGTGTTTAGCTTGTTGCCCTTTCCACCGCACCTCCGATAAGCGCAGAAGGCTATATACAGTACGCAAAGAAGTTCAACGCGCATGTTTGCATAATTACTGTTCGCATCTTGTTTTCATTGTTTACATATTTTCTGTAAACGAAAAAGGTATTCCACGTGTAAATTAAGCGATGCGATTTTTTTTTGGTCTCACCTGTCCAGCATGAGAAGATTCCCGCACACAGTAGAGTCCATCCCTGGGAGAACTGAACTTGATTTTACTGCCAGGGGGTATCCAAACAACAACAACAACGCACAGTCACACAATCTTGACACGTATTTGGTCGGGGGGCGGGTTCCAAATGAATTTGAGATGTAAATCACATTGTTTCTCATAATCATCACGTTTTCATTGTACAATGAACTGTTCATGTAAAGTAGTCATGATTAATGACCAAATACTGAGTAACAAATTAGACATCCAGCTATGACAAGTCCTCAGCAAGCAGATTTTTGTTCCCAAAAGTAAAATTGTTACGTTCTTATGATGCAGGCCAGAAAAATGAACAAGCATCACCAGCTCCCTGCGTTCCAGTCAAATTAGCTCACTAATGCGATTTTAAGTGCTGCAGTTCAGGAACAAGTTTATTTAAAACAGAAACCATGGCAAGATTTTATCATACTTTAAAAAAAATCAATCACAGTACAGGACAGCCCAAAAATCAGGTCACATAGGATTATTATATTTATTGTGACAAATGTTCGACCAGGCTTCCATTAACATTAATGCATACGTGAATTATCTTTTGAATTTAATTTAAATATTACATGTGTGTCATCTTTGAACGTTCATCAATTGTTTTGTCTCAATCCATTCCAGGTTATTGGTCGAGTTTTGTATACGACAGGTTTGAGGTGACCCCACAGGAAGAATAAAAATAGATATTAATAATGATACCAGATAAAGTATTAACTAAATGAAATACATAATAATAAAATTATGCCAGTGTTAAAATAAATGAAGTGACCCTATGTGTATCTATGGGACCTTTGTTTGTTTGCATGTTTTTCCGAAAGTATGTGTGGTTAATGCAGACTTGATGACTTGCGATAGGAGTGTCTATTCGGTGTTGGAACATCTTAACGCCTTCTGTGTTATTGTCAGAAAGAGTAATGTTACGTTTCATCACTGTGAAGCCTATGCTTCGTAAAGGATGGCATTTCCGTACGATAGTCGTTGCCACGCATCAAGTTTGGTGGTGTTGGCTCTTTGACCAAGGACTTCTGTCACCACGTAGCTGTCCTGCAGAGAGGGATTTCTATTTATTTATTTATTGCCCAAAAAAAGGCCATGGCACAAAGCTGTGAACAGTCGCATGAATTCACGCCCCTTTGATCAACCCTCATACACCTCTCTGTCATTGCCGGAAAGGGTAAATGCCTGTTCTTCTTATTTCATATCCCTACGCGTCCTAACTTTTGTGCCACCCTGTATGTACATAATGAAGCATCGCTTACTTCTCCATAACTGAACTCCCGCAACAAATAAACACGGAATCTAACAATTTAGGAATCACATTGCCATATTGATATCACTGACTTCCTTCCAGCTTGACCATACCATTTCCGAATTTTGCGAAGCGTACCGTACTTCAGGCAACTACGTGTGCAGTGGATTTTTCAATATATATAAAACACATTCTAATTGCAAAATTGCATAATGGGGGAAAAAATAAACTAAAAATAAAGTCACTGTATGCTCCTGCTGCTCCTGCTCAGGTGATCGCAGCTGTGGTGTACAGCTCCGTGGTATCCACAGCAGTGGTTCTCAACCTTTGTGTTGGCCACTGTGCCCCCTTGTTGAATGTTCTTTCAACCGAGTAGTACCCCCTGCACCTTGCCTGACCCAACGTGGTACTGATAAATAAATGTATGAATAATGAACGTCAATATTTTAGTGAATTGTCCATTTTGTGAGGTATCCTAACAAGCTATAAACTGCAAGCAGATAAAAACAAATTGAACGGACGCAACGCATGCGCGAGGTAATTTGTTCACGCTGGCTGGTTACTCTTGGAAACGGCTTTGTTTAGAATCGATAATTTTAGAAGGGTATTCGATATTGTTTGAGGTTACCATATGGATTTACATTTTATCGTAGTTATTGTATATTGGCATATTTATACATGATCATTCACCAATGACTATCATGGATGATATAATTTCAGACATTTATGAATCACCTCACGTACCCCCTGGGACATTGCCATGTACCCCCAGGGAACGAGAACCACTAGTCTACAGGATCCACCGCGTGTTGTTCGGCACAATGTCATACATCGGAGAGGTATACGGGCAGTCCTCGACTTACAAACGGGTTCCGTTCCTGAGAGCCGTTCATAAGTTGAATAGTTCGTAAGTCGTAACACAGTGATGCACTGAATTTAAATGCACATACGGTCAGTGTTATGAAATGTGTTACGATTCAGCAAAAAAGGGAAGCAGTGTTAAACTCATAAATAAGAAATATTGCACATTTGCGTGTAACACTGCAAATGGTTCCGCAGTTCGGTTCGTAAGTGCGAATTCACGTTAGAAAGTCGGATGGCTAAAAAAATTAATATCTCTTGGACGCTCGATCGTAAGTGCAAATGTCCGTAAGGCGTGCGTTCGTAAGTCGGGGACTTCGTGTATAGGCGGTCGTGACTTATGAGCTGTGCAACCCGATGTCGCACCTTTCGACCATGGCACCATCACACGTCAAAAAGAACATGTCTTCAGGCATGATGTCCCTCATCTGAAACGAGACGTCGCACGGACTGCGGTTGGGGTGTGCATTCAAAGGGTGGCACACGTCACTTGAGAATGACACGCCATGATTCCATGAGCAGGTTCACAATATCGTCCTTTATTTGAAAGGATATGATATGTTTGCTTTTGTAACTTGCTAACCCACCCATTCTGGACATCTGTGAAAAAGACTTTCATAGCTCATCGGATTTCTTCAGTCTAAATACACATTCTGATTCTGACAAATATATGCCTCGTGACCAAGTCACCTGCAATCTACCCAATCTCTGATTAGCACGGTTGGCTCGGTACAAAAGAAGCTCAACATACATGCATACAATGTTGCCAGAACTCAGAAGCTAAGCAGGCCTGAGCCTGTGCAGTTGCTTGCACATGCACCACAGTAATGTCACCATCACTCGGCGAGAATCAAAACTGCTGCTGTTGTTAAAATGTGTATCTGTGAATCCTGTGTGCACGTCTGTACATCCTAGGTGGTCGCGCGTGTGGTGTGTGTTTTACCTCCATCGCCCATTTCGATGTCGTTGCGACAGACCTGAAAAGAGACGTGCATGTCGATAAGTTAACACTTTATAATAATAAAAACTTGTGGTTTTTAAGCGGTGCTTCTGGGCACGATCCCCCTCCACTGCCACCATCTCCCCCCTCCTCTCCCTGCACCTACTTTTGCTTCTGCAAACAAATCACTACGTGCGCAGATGAATGACCGACAATAATTCCATGCGTGCCACGCTGCCCAGACTGCCCGAGAGATACGAGCAGGCGTAATAAAAATATATTTCATGACAAAAGCTACAAACATAATTTGGAAATTTCCTCGTTCCAATAATAAGTGTTCAGCTGTTGGTTTGAGGCAAACATCGCAGTGGTAGACTGACTGTATGCCTTCTCTCGAGATAAACCTATATGCAGTATATTGTATACATATTGCAACCATACAGCATGTGTCTCTCTGAAGGATAAAGCAAAAAGTGTATATTTTACTGTCGTTTTATTAAAAACGACCTCTTAACATTAATCGAAATTTTATGTTGGTGGCAATAAACAAGATTTGCATAATCTAATCTGTAAATTACAAGCAAGCTCGATCATCAACACAAAACGAGCACAGTCTGGAATACCAAACAACACGCAGACACGTGTACACAGAACTCAGCGTCTGTGCGTTATGTATAAAACCATTAGCAGTTCCTGAAGAATTGAATTGTAATCCTCTTGTCTGGGGTCACCGTCAAATAAAAAATAAAAATTAGTGACTGACAACAGTGGTGATGCAGTGATAGGCAACCGTTGACAGGTTTCGTCATTGTTAGGACTCATCAGTACGATATAGCCACCAATGCTCCCTGCTGCAATGTCTGCCTATGGAGCCCATGAGCGTGGCTGAATGCCAACATAATTCAAACCTGTAAATGACGGAAACCATTGTTTCTGTTAAGTTGCCATTTTATCATCATTTCCATATTCTAATGTGAATTTCTGCTTTTGTATAAACAGTACACAGTAGACTCTCAATTATCCACGCTAATGATGGGGAGGACAGAAGCGGATAATCCACAAATATCCCGTTTCCGCGGATCTATATGCCAAAAACCACTAATATAGGTATCAATTAAAACTCACAAAATAAATGAGCAGATAAATCACTCAAAATTAAACTGACAATTTTAATTGTTACTCTTTCGATTTAGAACGAATACTAACGATCGATAACACTTTCCTGCTCCCGTACAGAAGAGTCCGCCCACTAAGTGGACAGCAGTGGAGCCACGCCACTTAAAATCAATCAAATTCCGCCCACTGTTGTAAAGATATGCAACTACTGTGTTATAGGGGCAACCACGTGGATTTGGGGTTAACCGGAGCACATATTGGCTAGTTTAAGCACGTGGCTTTAATATAAACAATTCCATGAATAACAATGTATAACTATTTTTAGATTATTAATTTGGGCTTAAGGGAAAATCCATGAGTTATTAATTCATGTTAAAATCTCAGGTGCATGGTTAATCCGCAAATTGGATAAACCGCACGTAGATAATTGAGATTCTACTGTATAGTAGAACCCCTCTTAATGACAGTCATTGGTTCCACGAAACCAGTCGTTAAGTGATTTGGTCGTTAAGCGAGTATAGGAAATACAGTACACCAAGAAATCAAAAGAAATGTTTACACTTCAAAGCGCAGCAGACACTGAATGTAAACAATGCCCCAGCGCTCATAAATGGACATCACCGATTGGCCGAGGCCTGCTCAGACCACTTTGGAGCTTGCCGACTGGCCGAAATTGGCGGTCCCATGCTCGTCGTGAACCCGTCGTTAAAATGGGAATGGTCGGTAAGCGAACACATTGGGCTCTATGGAGGCCCATCATTTAGCGATTAGTCATTAATCGGGGTATTCGTTCAGAGGGGTTATACTCATATATGTATGTATAATTAAATGACGTGCTCGAGGACCAACCTGACTGGACGGGGCGAGTGCTGCTGTTGGATTGATGTCCTCTGCTTGGAGCTGCTCGTGGGGAGCTCCTCCCTCACCTGGCCACACACCTCGAACGGGTAGCCGGGAGACAGGGAGTTCTTGAGAGACTCGTAGCGTCTGGGCGGTGTGGGGTATTCGCTCTCTGGCAGCGCTGCTGCAGGCAGACGGAGAGAAGTAACACAGTGTTCAGAGTGATTATGATGTCCATCTCCACTCATCTGACTTCAATCACGTTCTAATGTCTATGGAAGGAGGAGAGCCGGAAAACAAATGAAACGCATGTTCATCGTAAACGACTCAATTGACCTACTGCTGATTATAAAAGTTGGAATTCATGACAGATTTAGGTTAAATAAGGTCCATATTTGTCTCGCTATTTTGACATTTTCATGACATTCAAGGTCCCACTGCCCACAAGCCATTTTGGGAAGGAAAGCTATGATTGGCACGCTGTCAAGCCGAATGTATTCCCTGAGTAAATAAACTATTAAGCTATTGAAACTATTTTTCTTTCATTTTACCAGGTAAGGACCACTGAGCTTTATAACTCTTTTTCAGAAGAGAAAACTTTGAGGTTCGGGATCGAACCTACGACCTCCTGTATACCAGGCGAGGTAGTTAACATATCGCCACCATGGGACCCGTGGTAAATCAGTTTGCCCCTATACAAACAAAGCACATCTTTGCTACTTTCTGCGCTCATTGTGCTTCACAACATTAAAGCTGCAATGGAAACAAATATTTGTAGTCGACATGAACAGTATCAACACTATTATATACAAATGCTGCTCTGTTCATGCCTTGTCTCCCGTTGAAACGGCTCACTTGACAGTCACACCCGGTACACGTATGTGCCGATTGCTGGACTGTGTGAAGTCACACACGTGGTTCTGAAACCATGGTGAAAAAACCAAATGGGACATTTCTGTTGTGTATTTTTTCTTACACGTGCAAATCTCAATAAAAACTAAATCTTTTGCTGAATGCTACAACAAATGGTTTTCACCGAATATATTTGTGAGACTTTGTTAAAGTCACAATACAGTACGTGGCTTAAGAGACCGTGGTATGGTGGTAATCCGTGGGCCCAAGTCACGTTCTGTACAGCCCATTTGCCAACCCACTGCTGGATGAAGTCGTCCTCATGTTGCGTCAATCGTGGGGTTGTTCAGCCATACTTCACCGCACTGCATAGCGTGGGTTTGTGAAGGTGGGGACCCAGGACCGTTTCAGATGCCACTCGCCACTGACTGACTTTCGCCATGACTGGGAATCAAACTCAGGTCACTGGGTTCAATTACGCAGTGGGCAGTTGTGAGGGAAATGCTTCCGTTGTTTTTTTTTGTACGACATCAGCCACAGGTGAATACTAAAATTGCGAGATGTTACCGATTCTACGCGCAATCCGCCACTTTTTGGTGCAACGGTCGCGAAAACGGCTGCACGAATCGGGCCCTGGATGTTCACTCGAGAGGGATGTAGAGGGGATGAGTCATTCCACCGCACCTCTGATTAGCACGGTTGGCTACGTACGGTGCGAAAGAAATACACCGCACGTACAAACATACCAGAAGGCTCCCCAAAGAGTTCACGAAAACCAAAGGTGTTGAGAACCCCTGTCACAGACAATGCGAACGAGTCCACTCCTGGAGCTGGTACCTTGAGCTGAGCAGCAGCAGCACCAGCATGTGCCATTGGAGGCATGGCTTGCGTCGTGTGCCACGTCTGAAAAATATATGAATTGATTTTCGTTTATATTTGTATGACCACAGTAATTAATGATTGATTAACCTTTGTACAACCATCAAACTATGTAAGGCGAGCTCCTCCATGCAATGCCTCTTTATCACAAAGTAGTGTTTCTATTAAGCGTTGAATTTCCTTGCACGTTAGTACAATGATGAAAATAACACAGTCGTTACTAGGAATGCTAAAAATAAAGTGATGCATGTCCTGTGTATGATAACCAACACATTTATCTCCATATATAAAAGGCAAAGTTGTGAATGTGTCTGTTCAAAATGTTTAGCGTACTTCCCGACATGCAACTCGAAATTTGCCATGTGGGTACTTTCCTGAGTGTACACCATGCAAAAATTATAAAAATACAGGGTTTTTTTAGGGGGGGAGCTCAATAATGCATATATTTTCTGCACGGCAAGTGAGCTGACGTCAAATCTGTCACGTGACCCGCGCATGTGGAAGCGTAACGCATTGTAGTGTAGTGGTTAGCGCGCCGCGCTACGAATCCGGCGACCCGAGTTCGATTCCCGCTCACGGCCACCACCGGTGACGATTATTTTAACCGGTCCTGGGCCTCCCCTTGGTCGACTCAGCCTCAAACGAGTAACTGCTGTGGTGTGTGAACATCGCCACTGGGGAGACAAAGGCGGCCGGGCGTGGTTGCTCCAAGTCCTGGGCGAAGCCGGGTAGTACAGCTAGTTATCTAGAAAATGCCCCGCGGAAATGATTTGCATTTCAGTGAACACTTGCATATCTCTCACCTTCAGAATCATCATCCGGTTCTTCAAAATCCCCATTATCTACATTCCAGATACAAGGGATAGCATCCGAGGGCGAGCGTCACGTACACTATTGTGTTTAAATATGAGTGTGCGAGTCCTTTCAAGTGTGTATTGGGCCCTGGTCAGCGCGTCTGTGACTGCAAAGGCACCAAGCACAATCTACGTACAGCCTTGGCTTCTTGTTCGCTTAGGTTTGTTGTCCTTTGCCCGCACCTCCGATTAGCACGGTTGGCTACGTACGGTGCGAAAGAAGTTCAACGTACAACACTGTACATACGTACGTAAGGCCCTTGATCAGATCGTAAATCTTCCTTCAAAAAATATCCTGAAACTGTGAATAACCCAAATAATAATAGATATTCGTTGTAATTTATATGAATACGTGAATCCTCCCACTGGTCTTCGTAACCTAATTGGTTCACAGTGACGAAATCACATTTATCCCTCTATTTAAGACCGAAACGGGAGGAATTCTCCACAACCCTGGCTGTCGCCTAATGATGCTGGTTGTAATAACCAGCGCAACATCACAATTACTCGAATTGTAAATGTTGTGGGTTTACTCTCCAACACACCGGTATGCCGAACTCGTAACAAATTGACATGCTTTGTTTACACGTCACATTTATATTTACGCGATCTAACCAAAAAAAAACCTCTATGGATAATAATGGTCGCGAAAGCCGACATGTGAATCTCTCTCTTGTGTTCTGACTGAACTGATCTAGCCACGTCTCTGTATCGGCCAGCCAATAGAAGACCAAGACATTGGTTTCATCACTACACAGTATATATACTCAATAGTTACATATTCTTTGTGTTAATTATTAACCACTATTTAACTTTTTTATTTAAAGCTTTCGTGACTACAGTAATTCATATTCTTAGCTCTTTCGGTAAAGTCACGTTGAAGGGAAGCAATAAAATATATATAAAACAATAAAATTCTCACGACGTTTCGACCATAACACAAACGGTCATCATCAGGTGTGAAAACCAACGGCAAGAAAATTTGAAAGAAGTGGCGGTTCGCATTTATTGATTTATTTTTAAACGGTGTTCGTATTTATTCATTTTTAAAACGTTAGCACCGCGGAAAGCGATTTGGCAGTTTGTTTATAAGGAAGAGTCCATCTATGTTCGTAAAAGAGGAGGGGGGAGACGAAAAAATTAATGTATGCTGTCTGAAAGCCACCGTAAGCTTGAACAATCAATTAAGACCTGAATTAAGACCTGAATTGATTGTTCAAGAATTAAGACCTGAATTAAGACCTGAATTGATTGTTCAAGCTTACGGTGGCTTTTAGACAGCATACATTAATATTTTCGTCTCCCCCCTCCTCTTTTACGAACATAGATGGACTCTTCCTTATAAACAAACTGCCAAATCGCTTTCCGCGGTGCTAACGTTTTAAAATAAATAAGTACGAACACCGTTTAAAAATAAATCAATAAATGCGGACCGCCATTTCTTTCACATTTTCTTGCCGTTGGTTTTCACACCTGATGATGACCGTTTGTGTTATGGTCGAAACGTCGTGAGAATTTTATTGTTTTATATATATTTTATTGCTTCCCTTCAACGTGACTTTACCAAAAGACTTAAGAATATACTATTTAACTATTAACTATTTTTTTCTTAACCAGGTAAAGCCCACTGAGCTATAGAACTCTTTTTCAGAAGCGACCTGGCCACAAATGATAGCTCAAAAAGTGGCTTATCACAAAGAAATGTATAGCAGCAAAATACTCTAAACGCGTTATGTTGATTCTAAATGTGGAGGGAAAAACCAGAGGACCCGGAGAAAAATCCACGCCACCATGGGGAGAGAGGGACAAGCAAACTCTAAATATAGAGGCGCCAAGGGTCAGGATCAAATCCATGACCTCCTGCATACCAGGCGAGGTAGTTAACATCTCGCCACCATGGCCATGACAAAGGAATCACATCTAAACCATTAATTTTGTCTATATATACCCTATAAAATAACATTATTTTGAGGTAACTCGACCCCTGCTATAAAGGAATGTGTTTACTCACTACGATTCACACACGCGGTCCCCTAGCGACGTCATCCTATTTCCATTCCTGGAAAAAAAAACTCTCTCTGTGACGTTTCCTGGCGGCAAAGTTGAGCACGTAGATGCGGCAGTAGTTTTCATCATCGAGTCTTTGTTTTTATGCCATGGAGGACAGCTTGGAGGAACCTTCTATGCTGTCTCCGAAATTCAATGGCAAGGCAATCTTTATCTTTGCTTTTCCGATTCTCGATCTACTAATTATCCTCAACACTCTCAGTGCATTTAACCGAATGTGGTTAATTATTCTACGGGTCGATGGCTGCACAACCACTCCTGGGGCAGCTCATCCCTGGTTGTGGTTTGGGAGACTCTCTCCATTCACAGGAGGTTATGCTCAACAAATACGCAAACCTGGTACTGGGAATCAAAGATCACATGTCCATGTTCTCCTTCCATAATGTTAACGAGAGTTGAGGTACAAGTTACACGTAGTTTGTAAGTGAGAAGTGTTTGTAAATGATTAGCGCGCCATGTTGACAAGATGTTAGCTCCCTTGCCTGGTATACAGGAGGTTGTGGGTTCGATCCCGACCCTGACGCCTGCTTATATTTGGAGATGGCATGGTTTTCCCTATGGTCAAGTGGCTTTTTCTCCAGGTCCTCCGATTTTTCCCTCCACATTTAGAGTCAACATGCATTTAGAGTATTTGGCTGCTATAAATTTCCACGCGATAAGCCACTTCGTTGAGCTATCATTTGTGGCTAGGTCGCTTCTGAAGAAAGAGCTGTATAGAACAATGGGCCTTAGCTCATGAAACAAATAAAAATAGCTCCTCGTTTAGTTTACAAACGATTAATGCTCTCTTCTCCGCAATGCACAGTTACCACCCAACATTGAGCAGCTCTCATGACCCTCGAATCAAGGATTCATTGCCATCATCGTTATAATTGTAAATGTTGTGGGTTTACTCTCCAACACACCGGTGTGCTGAACTAGTAACTAACTAACAAACACAGATACAATTTCAACCGAGAAGATGGATTCTAGCTTAGCAATCATTGGAAGGATTTTATAAACCATTTCGGGTCTTAATTGATTGATCACGCTTAAGGTGATTTTCAGACCGCATCCATTATTTTTCGTCTCCCCCCCCTCCTCTTTTCCGAACATAGATGGACTCGTCCATCTGAACAAACTGTGAAATCGCTCTCCGTGGTGCTAACGTTAAAAAACACAGCCACTTTTTGTCAAATTTTTCTTGTGGTTTTCATACCTGATGATGATTGCTTGTGTTGCAGTCGAAACGTCGTGAGAATTTTATTGTTTTATATTTTTATTATTTTATTGTTTCCCTTCTACGTGACTTTACCGAAAGAACCAAGAATATATAATTGGCATGTATTGTTTACGTAACAAACCTTACTAATTGGCTGTGTCGGGTGGCAACGGGCTTAACAACACATTTATATTTACAGGATCTAACCCAAAGACCAATATTCTGGATCGTTATTATAATTATGCTTGTCGTCGTGAGCTCTCTGGCGCTTCCTGTAGTGGAGACCCTTCCACCAGCAGTGGCGTGAGCATTAACTGTAACCACAGGGCTGCCCCTGTGCAGTTTAGTCGGTTCACTTTGTTAAAAACCAAGGTGGCGACTTGGGATTTGATTCTCATTCGCAAGAGTGACCAGAGTCACCAAAATGGCAAAAGCGTATAGCTGCTTGTTTTCTTGGAACGCACAAGCGCTCAGCGTTAATTTAATTTAGAGAGCACCGCTGTTTTTAAAGACACTGTACTCACCGCAGATAACCGTAGCGACACGACCTCAATCTATAATAGCTGGTGCCAAACTGCCACACGCCCTCCCGTATGGCCTTGTGGGAGCCTTCGTATCGATAAAGTTATTTTATTTTTTTCTTTCGGTTCCATTTCGATGATGCAAACGTATGTCATCGGAACAGAATCGGAAGAAAAACGTATGACGTATATGTGCATACGTGCAAGCGGTTCAGCGTTACGTGTACGTTATTGGAACGGGTAAGGGTCTATTGACCAAATATATATCAAAGCAACAGAAAAACAAATATAAATGTCAGCAAGTGTGTTGAGTGAGTGTGGGAGTGTAAATGTGTGCTTGACTGACTGGTGCGCGAGTGTGGGAGTGTAAATGTGTGCTTGACTGACTGGTGCCAAGGAGCTGCAGGCCACCGTCCCTGCTCAGGCTGATGGCAACAGGCCGCTCCACAGACCCGTAGAAACTGTCCACCTCACTCGGGCTGTCAGGCCGACTGCTACACAACACGAAGAACACAATGGGCGACCGTCAGAGTCGTTCTGGTCTCCTCTATTTCACAATAAATCGCGACGGAATATTTTCATTTTTAATTCGTCCTGTAAGTGCACCTGTCCGCTAAGCAGCGGGCAGCTCTTGACGATAACCTTTTAAGGAATTACGATTCGATCAGTAGTGAAGACTGAATCTGGTTCCCAACAGGTTCGTGCGATTGTTGAGATGATGGAACCAGACATCGTTTCTTGGCTTGTAAATATCCACAAATTGGCACAATTCAGTGTCGGCCTGTGATTCAAGCAGCAATTATTTTTTTCTTTCAATTTTTAAACCTTAACTGTTTTTTTCCTCATCTGTTCTATCTCATGTGCAGAGTTTTGTTCATCCAATTAGCCTAAATAGGAACATTTCGAAATACGATTTGAATTAATCGTAATTGATTGATTCTCACTTGCACAATTTAACGTGTTCATAGGCGAGCATCAGATTAGATTTTTATGACAGAATCTATCCGTTGTCATTGCATGGCGAATGTTGTTCTTGGGGGCAGCCAATCAATGCCGCGTGCCACCCAGTGATGACTCCTGGGATCCCCACGAGAATCCCGGTATTTTGAATGAAGATGCGGGGATCGCCAGTGAAATGGATGAGGCATGTATTTTTGCATCGTCTTCCACTTGTCGTGCTTTTTGAGCGTCGATGTTAGCTGGGTAACGTGATGGGAAACACTCTTGAACCCTAAAAACATTGTGGACCAAGAGTACAGCTTCTCCGTAATCCATACCAACAGCATTCCATCTGTGGTACAAAAAAAAGGTTGGCACTCTATAAATGTATGGACTTCTTTTCTCTTCATCGCACTGAGACTAACTATGCCCCTCAGTGTACTCCTCAGTCGCACCTCGCCACCTCGGCCCATTTCATGCCCTTGCTCTGCCAGTCCTCTACCACGTCCACAGTGGGTTATACAATAGGATGTGAAATCTCGTCTGCCACCCTTCCACGCACATATAAAACACATAGGAATATATGTTTCACGTACTTTTTTTTTTACAGATGTCTCCAAAAATAATGCGAGTTGATCAAGGAAATGCAACATTATAGATATTTTCTATTTGTCGTCTCAGCGATGGTCTGTGTGTAACTGTAAATGTATCTCTTACGTGTCTGTGTGGTATACCTGCTGCTCTTATAGAACTCGGTGATGATACACTGCTCCTTAATTTCATTCCTGATGGCTCCCATCCACTTCTGCAGAAAGAGAGAGGATCGATGAGGTGAAGGAGTGAGAGTATGTGCACGAGACGCGTGATGATTGTGGGAATTGATTTTTGTGCTTGGTTGTCCTTCCCCGCACCTCCGACGAGCACGGATGGCTACGTACGGCGAGAAAGAAGTTCAACGTACACACTGTACATACAGTGGAGATAATGCACAGCAGCGGTCATCAGCCCTGGACAGAAACAGCTTCGACGTCGCACTCCGATGTGTTTTCGGCGTTTGTACCGCGTGCCGTCTGGAATGTTGTCCGATGGGTCACGCTCTGTGCGGGCAGCTTCTTCTGGGAAGTGAAGAAGCTCCCGGGTACGAGGAGTGAACCGTTCGGAGGTCGTGCCGCACGGCACGCGGCATAACATGAAGATACAGTGGAGAGCTACGCAGCAGCACGGCCGTGAACACCGGCGCAGTCGTATAACTTAACGAGTGTTGTTCTCCTCGTGGTTGACCAATTGGCACAACTGTGTATTTAAAAAAAAGACTCGTGACCGTCTGGCAATAAGTTAAGTAACGTGTCAAAACTTACGCAAACGTGTGTACACTTGAACAGTGCCTGTTCCTTGTCGTGGAACGGATCAGTAACGTGAACTCAAATACGGAACAAAGCTGAGAAGTACGCAGAAAAAAACGTGGAGACATCGCATGCTAAGAATTACATTGAGGAGGCAGAAAGAGGGACACGTGCATCGGAGAGCGAACACACACATTGGAGGAGACATCTTATTGGGTGTTATGAAAGAGTAAGAGGGCTTGGGCAGGACTCATCGCGAGAGGGGGGTGATTGCCGATGGATTAAACTGGTGATACGACTGGAAGCCCGAGAAGATAACAGCAGAGGTCGAATGATGAGATCAGCTCGTACGCAGAAGTTAGATGGATTCCATCATCGCAGAATCATGAGATTAACTATTTTATTTTATCAAACGAAACCAAACTATTTTTATTTTACCAGGTAAGGCCCAATGAGTTTTAATAGCAAATTGTCTGAAGCGACCTGGCCACAAATGATAGGTAAATGAAGTGGCTTATTATTTCGTGGACCTTTATCGCAGCCAAATACTCTAAACGCACGTGGTTTATAAATGTCGAGGGAAGTAGAGGACCTGGAGAAATATGCACGCGACCACGGGGAGAGAGAGAGACATGCAAACTCTAAGTATACAGTATTCAGGGTTGGGATCGAACTAACGATCTCCTGTACACCAGGTGACGTAGTTAAGATTTCGTCACCTTGGTGGAGGCCTTTGTCCATAAGTGGACAAATGACAGTGATCTTAAACGACTTCAAATATGTAAATATTATACCTCATATTTCTACCTGATATCCCTACCATCACGGTAAAAAAAACATTTCCCAAAAAAAATCACGCAATGAACATACACGAATAAATCACAATTAACAAACATGATTTCATAACATAAGCATATAAGCAGCTGCATCAGTTGATTAAAACTGAACACAACCCATCCCATTACCTAATTTTGTAAATGTATGTCCATATTTAATATTATCTCTGGGATGTTTTGCGTGTCCCTGTAGCAATGGTTAAAGGTGCAGTCCTGCAATTGCTTGATGACACCACTGCTGGCAAGAAGGGACTCACGCACGAGAAGGGAGCTCTCGAGACGCTGTCCCCAATGTGATGCTGTGCTTTGCTGTCACTTTGCTGACCCAGCTCAGCCTTTGCAAAATAAACTCTCGTCTGCCTTCTTATCCTGTTACATAATCAGAACTGAACTCCACGAGTGAGAAAACAGATGAGCTGACGATACGTCTACTTCCCATAAATGTCTCTCCACGTAAAATAAAATAAAAATAAAAAATTTCACAGTGCATCAGCCTCAGGGTCTTCCAGAAGCGCAATAATCTCAGCGGCATTGATTCAATACGAGCAAACTCTCGACTGGGCTGATGAGTTGCGTAAAAATACTTAGATAATTTTCAATTTACAGGGAAATACAGATATATATTATGGATGGATATAGTCCACTTATCTATTTTATTTATATTCTCCACATAATTGCAAGTGCTTATTGTGCGACACCGGTGAGAGAGAGAGAGACGGACGAGGGAAGACAGGGTAAGGCCGTCCCCCACCTTGCGTTCCTCTTCATTCGCTGCCGAGAAGTACCACTTGCGTCGATTCTTGCACATGTGCATCAACTTGAAAGGATAGATGGCGTGGGAGCCAAACTCCTCTGGAGCGCGGAGGACTCTGCCACATGCGCACGCACCGGACCAAAAAATGAGACACAATTCACAGACACAATTGCAACAAATGTGTATTCGTTGTTTGTAGACGCCGCACGAATTCCTCTGCCTCTCTGCTGCACAACTTGAGCCATTGTTGAGGCCGTACTGTGCCAACCCGGAACGGCTGGCTCAGGAGGTGCCCAGGTTGGTTTTCCACTGCAGAAGGAGAGCCGTGCCGCTGGCGTCACTCACAATGAATGGAGCAGAAGACGCGTGTCTGTGACGCGGTGGATCTTACCAATCTTACCTATTACAGAAAATCTACCACTCAGTACCTCCACCCTCCCACGCACATTCCCCCCCACCCACCTACGCCCTGCACCCCCAACCTGCACAGCCCCCAAGGCCCCCCCCCCATCCTACAAGATGCATTCTGATTGGCTGCACCCCAAGTGGTGGCCAGCACGTGGGAGGGAGAAGGGTCGTTTGTGGCAATGTGCAGCAATCATTAAGACTGTCATAGCCCTCTGATGTCTCATGCAATGGGCCATGTAATTTTTTTATTGTAACTAACATGAGCCCGGCACAAAGCACAAGTCCCCAGGGCTCAGTGCTCCTAGGGTTTAAAGTAAGGAGGAAAAATTGGGCTCACTGCCCCACCCAGGTGGCCACCGTGAGCAGCAGCATGAGAGTTTATATGGGAGGGAAAAATGGGGAGGGGATAATAAAAGTAAGGGGATAAAGGGAACAGGAGAGGCGGGGGCAATGGGCAATGGCATTTGCCCTACCTCTGACCCTGCCTTGCCAGATTTATATATATTCTCGTAAGGCTACCAATATCCAGGTATGGCTCCGACTTGTCACGGTAACTTGCCAGCAGACAAAAAAACACCCGCACCTTAAGGTCCATGTGGTGGTTCGGCACTAATGTGCCAGTGGAAAAGTTGCATTCGAACACTATTGACGGAAAAATAATACAGTAATTTGCTGCCTGTGCAACAGGCAGGTGGGATAAGAGTAAGATCCAGGGCAATACCTAGGTTAATTCAGAAAACACACGCAAAAACATTGTAATGTTATAAGATGAACCCCACGCTCGAATCAGCTGATTTAAACCGACTAACAACACGTGATGGGAATCCTAAATAGTTGAGGCAGTGGCACAAAATAACGTTAAAGAGTGTAGCCCGATAGAAGTGGACTACAGGGCCTGGGTTTATAATCGGACAGAATTGTGGGTGGGTGGGGTGCATCCGGGGGCTCTGATGCCGTGTGGGTGGCCACTGCACAAGAAGCTGTGAGAAAGCTGAGCTGGACGGGTTTTGGAAAAGGTTATCAGATTGCGGATTGTTAAGCCTGAAACCCAACCACCCGATGCGGTCAAGAAATGTACAGTGTAATGCAATATTATTTAAGAATTCCTAATACCATGTCTGGATCAATGCTCCAATTTACATTTAAATTTATATTTACTCATATATCTACCAAAAAATGTAAATAGCAATATAAAGAGCCACAAACCAATAATATAATTTTAGTGTTTCAATATGGGGCAACTCGGTTTGCACGGTGACGCGCCTGGGCCCTTCTCAGCCTCCTCCGCCTCGTTGCAAGGGGGAACATTTATTTTTATTAACATGTTTTATTGCCCCTTCTTTGGTTCTTTCGGTAAAGTCACGTAGAATGAGAATAAAATAATAAATTGACTTTACCGAAAGAACCAAAGAAGATTAATCATTGCAGTCACGAAAGCTTTAAATCGAAATGTTTTATTGCCATTAAAGATCCCAGAAGACAGTGTGGATTTCAAAAATAAGGGGAGAAAAAAGACAGCAGATGATATGTAACGAGACAGGAACAATGCACCCTCAAGATTAGCGATCAAACAGGGGCGTCTGGGCTCGCTGCCCGACCGTGATAGGGGTGACGATCGGGAGTGGTGCATTTCAGGGGGACGAAGATGGAAGAAGGGGCAGGTGGGGGCGGAGGAGGAACAATGTAAACAAACAAAACCAGAAATAAAATAACATAAATGCGATGTCCATGTCTTTCTTGTTTTCTCCAAAGAGCAACGGTTACCACGTGTAAACGAAGATGGAGTAGGTATCCAGAGTCTGTCCCTTCTCCCCAGACCCCCCCATTTTTCCCAACCACGTCTCCTTTGATTTCAGACCTTTGTGTTCCATGGATAGTGAAAATGAATTACTCAGCGGGTTCCTAAACGCAACGCGCCAACGGTGTCGACATCTACATTGAGTTCCATCACAGTTAAATTTCGATTTAAAGCTTTCGTGACTGCAATGATTCATCTTCTTTGGTTCTTTCGGTAAAGTCACGTAGAATGAGAATAAAATAATAAATTGATAAAATAAAATAACACAATAATATTCTCACGACGTTTCGGCCACAACACAAGCGGCCTTCATTCTACCAAAGAAGAGGTTCCATCACAGTTCTTCTAAATGTGTCAATTACACCAAATAATGTGCCAAATTATTGTAAAGTTGCTAATGTGTCTTCTACATGAAGGCTGTAAACAAACCAAATGATGAGACCAGCATCAGTCATGTGCATTTTGTTAAAACTGCTGGAAAATCTAAGAAAAAACAATTTGTTCCTCATATGGGGGCAATATTAAACGTATACTCAAAACAACCAGTTTTGGGGCGGAGACACAATACAAAATATCGACCACTATGGAAATTATCAATCATCGCTCTGGCTTTTTATATGCAAAGCTAATATAGCTCTCTCATATGTGTATCTGCTTCAGTTTAGACAGCCGTACAGCAACTAGCCGAAAACATAGAGTCGTAAAGACAAGATATTTTGAGCCGTCTAATTTGATTTATGAAAGAAAACCTTTGCCATGGTAGATCATCAGATTCTGATCCTCAAGTCTAGAAAACCATGGCATCAGCTCTTGTGTCACATGTCATGATGAGTACTGCAAGATCCGACCGTGCCCGTCTAGTGCTCACTAAGCTACATTGGCTTCCGGTTATTGAACGAACACATTATAAGGTCGCACTCATTACACACAAAGTGCTTGCCACAAATGAACCACACACTGCGGTCATCCTCACAGCGGCTTTTGGCTAGGCATCGAACAAAGACGGTCACTGCATCGCGCGTTTTCAGGTGCACTTCTGCGGCCGTCTGGAACACTCTTCCTTCCGATATTAGGAAGCCACTGGGACTATGCACTTTTAAATCATCTAGATTGAAAACTAATTTCTTTAAAACTGATTTTGGTGTTTAGTTTGTTTTTCTTCCCCCGCACCTCCGATTAGCACGGTTGACTAAATATGGTGCGAAAGAAGTTCAACATACACATGCACAAAACCGTTCTGATACTGCCAACGAAATTAAGGCTCGGCCATGGTAGGCCATTCATCCATGTTCCAACGAGCTCCAACCCCGCTTAAGTTCTAAAATACAACACAACCAAGGTGAGGGTGATATGGTTAGGTATGATGCAGAGAGACACGTACCTGTTGTACCCTCGCAGGGAGAAGGCACCCTGCGGGTAGACGGACGAGCAAGACTTGTAGTAGTAAATGCAGCCACGGTACAGAACCGTGAATCTCAGTTGCCCTGCATTAGGGGGAAAAGATCATGCTGGTTAATTTGATTCCACCTCGGTTATATTGATGGCTCTTATATGGCGTTAACAAACGCCTTGTGGTGAAAAGTGTTTTCTGCATCTGTGAGCTCAATTGGCTTTGTGTGTCACAGAAGGAACTCAGATCTCAAAATTTGTTTAGGAAATTGTCTCATTTTGGCAGTGGTGTAGAGTGAATTCGAGCGAGTCTGACTAATACTGGAGAAGATGAATGTGGGTTATGCTTCCTGTAAGTAGAGAAAGGGTGAGGTGTGGTGGTGAAGATGACCAGTCTGAGTGCCTCTGCTTTACCCAAGACAAAACGATGCACAATTGAAAAAAGCAATGCATATATTAAAAATTGTATCTTCAGTGGCATTCAAAGCACACAACATCCTACTCAGTGCAGTGTTCCTACCCGTCCCATCCTTTAAACCTATGGCCCAGGTGATTACGAAAGTACTTCTGGTGGAGTCGGTAGAGATATGGCACGACCCTCGCTATGTAACGAGGGATTTTATTGCATTCAATTTGCAATACTGTCTTCCACGCATAATTTCACATACAGTTCCAGATTATAAGGTATAGTTTTAATAAGAACAAACAAATGCATTTGTTTGGAAAGTCAAAAAATAAAACGAGAGATATTTTCATTCAAGCTTTGAATGCCTTACTACAAAAATTGTTTTTCACTTAACATGTTTATTATATTCCTGCAGCTTCTGCAAAAGATATACACATCCCCTTTGCATGTTCTAATCCAGCAAAACGCTGCCGCTTGCTTGTAACGTGCGCCTACGGGGAGAGGAAGCGAGCGTGGAAAAAAAATTGCGGAACAGGAAATTTCACTCTGAAGTGACCACGGCGTAACGAGGAATAGTGATGGGCGGGCGTATATGGGGGGGTGGGGGTCAGGGATGCGGCGTACATCGGTTGAGGGTGAGAGAAGATTCGGCCTTCTTGTGAAGGTATCCGAACGTGGTGGCGTCCCCCGGCATCGTGAGCAGGTGCTGCGCGCTGATGTGGCGCAGCGGGATGGGCCACTCAGCCCGATTGGAAGCCATGCTGTTGGAAATACACAAAAGACAAACGTCACCGGTATAGACGCTTTAACAAGACTGTTGGGGACAAGTGCTGTTAGCGAGCCACCTATGAAGGCCGGTACGACACACGAGCAGAGTGGGTGGCTAGCACCACGCCCGGCCGCCTTTGTCTCCCTAGTGGCAATGTTTACACACCGTACTGGCTACTCATTTGAGGCTGCGTCGACCTAGGAAAAGCCCAAGAACGGTTCAGATAATCGTCACTGGTGTTGACCGTGAGCGGGAATCGAACTCTGGTGCCTGGGTTTGTAGTGCAGCGCGCTAACCGCTACACTACACAGACACAAACAGACCACATTTACTTAATATAAATAATAACAATATAAATCTTTATCTATCCAGAAATTTTAAGATGGGTCCTGCTTTGGGATTTAATTTTAAGATGTTTTCAGCCAATTAATGAACGTTTATTTAGCCCGCCTATATTTTTGGCATACGGACTTGAAATACCTAAAAACTATATTTTTATTTTACAAGATAAGGCCCACTGAGGTATACAGCTCTTTTTTAGAAGCGACCTGGTCACCAATGATATCTCAACGAAGTGGCTTATCGTGTGGAAATGTATAGCAGCCAAATACTCTAAACGCGTGTTTCTAAATGTGGAAGGAAAAACCAGAAGACGTGGAGAAAAATCCACACGACCATGGGGAGACATGCAAACTCCAAATATACAGGTATCAGGGACGGGATCAAACCGATGACCTCCTGCATACCAGGTGAGGGAGTTAACATCTCGCCAACGTGGCACCCCAGTAAATATAATGGTAATGCACATGCACATATATTGATGTGTTTTGCCTATTTTTACCTGCCCATCTCTTCTCGATACTGAATGTTTAGATTAAATTAATTAATTTTGGATACAAATTAAGTGCAAATAAAAATGGCCAATGGTGTGCTCAACCAACAGACAGGGTCACCAAGGATCTCCAAATAACAAAATCGAATAAAATGTTTTTACATTAAGGAAGAGGCACGTGAGATATAATGTGGCCCTACATTTGCCTTAAGGACCGCATCGCCTATTGTTACGATTTGGCTCATAAACCTCCACCGGAGGGTTCCTATAATATAGTGCAACAAGTACTGTATTTCCCATCACTCCACGTGTGAGTACATACGTATGCACCTCCGATTAGCACGGTCCCGCACTTCCAATTAGCACGAGCGGCTACATACGGTGCGAAATAACTTCAACATACATACATGCTCATTAATATAGCTGTCCACGTCATGGTTTTCCCAAATTACTCTCTTTGAAGCTCGAAATTAGAAAAAAATCACAGTTAGCTTATTTTACTCACCCTCATCCCTAAATGTGACCACATCATCCCATGACTCGAATCCCATCACTGGCTCCCAAACCAATCCTGCACCAACTTTCAGATCATTTTCACTGTTTTCAAGATCGGCCCCATAGACTCACCCCAACAAGCCAAGGCCTCTTGGTCGACAATAATTTCGGCGGCCTACGGTCGCCTTAATCTAGCTCCTGTGGAGGGCTTCTCAACGCTTCACACCTCGCCCGTGACCCCCACTGATGTCCTCTTCTTCTCCTCCTCCAAAATGAGTGCAGATACTACTGACTCTATTGTGTATAGGGTGTGTAGATATATATGCCTACAAAATAAATACAATTAATTTGGGGGGGGGGTGTGACATTTTATATATTTTGGGAGGGGGGTCAACAATTTTTGGAGACCTTTTGGATCAACTTTTTACCCGCACAACTGGGGGGGAGGTCCTCTATAACTCTGTGATTAAAGCATTCTGACAGGGTCTTACCATTTAGTTGATAAACGGACAAATGGAACGACAGTCTTTTATAATAGAAAGCCCCCAGTCAACCTTCGTTCAGGGAATGGTCTGGAATTCCTTTCACCTGCTGTCGATTCACTGCCCCTGCTCAAGTCTAAGCTCTATACCTATGTCTTGTGGTCTGCATGTGACTGACTGTCCCTTCTCGTTGGTGCATGTTGTTAGTGAGATGTTTGGTGTTCCGGATGACCTGAAGTTTAGTAGTTGGGAGGTTTGAGAAAATCACAGAGGCAAAACAGCCACGGGTTTAGGGAGCCAAGTATTAGCAGATGCCAGAGATGTTAAGGCGAAGTGAGGAAAACCTGCAGTCAAGAGATGTGGGGAAAGAGAGTGCGGGATCAGTGACAAAATTAAGGTTTCAAAAAAAATAGTATTTTGGCTGCGTTTGTCAGGAAATGTGTGGGGGGAATCAATACCAAGGGATTTGGTTTTGCCAATGAAGAGGACTGTCTTTAGGGACAATCAGTTGGATAAAATAGCTGTTAATACGGGTTGAGACAGAATCTACGCAGGTTGAGCGGGTAGGCAGTGAGTGAGCTGTGGTTGGAATCACAACGACGGTTGAGCTAAATGGGAGGTAAAGGTTGGAAATGAGGTTAGAACTGTGGGTGGCACCATCATTTTGTAAATATTGGAGCTAAACTGGCTCCTCGGGGGAGGGGAGAGGGAATGCGGGCAGCCAGAGGGCCGGCAATTGGTGACGTAATTCTCCTCAGTGCTGTTCAGTAGGGAAAACGCATCTTCTACAAGTATGTACCGTATGTTGAATGGTACCTATACACAGAGGCATTGCGTGGAAGGAGCAGAACGGGCAGCTGCATTTAACATGTGCACAACACAAGTTCTGTGCTCGAGGTCACGTCACTTTTTTATGGAATCATATAAAACCTAGCTTGTTATGGCAGAGTCTATCCTTCTTGTGTCAAGTGAAGCCTACCCTGGCAGTGTTGGAGCTCCAAGGGGCAACACTACTCAACGGCGCATTGCATTTTAATGTAGACTTAGATGCTACTTTTGGGGGTGTTTTCACTCTTTGTGTATTGTCGGGGGCCACACTAAAGGCCACCAGGGGCCACCAGTGGCCCGTGGGCCTTGCAATGAAGAACACTGAAGTAGGGACTCATTCCTTTTTGCAGATAATCCCCTTGCACCTCACCATCTCCATACTTTGAAATGGCGGCCATGGTTTATTCCTCCACAGCTATCACACTTCCGGCACACACTTCATCAGTATCCTCTTCCCAACATCCTCTTCCCTCGCTTCCAAATGAGGCCTTCCAAAACCCGGGAACTGGTCACGCACAGCTGGAATCCAGAACCATTGAAGGCGATGGTTGGTGGATGACACAAATTTGTGAAGCTCCACTCTGGGCTTGTCAGGCACTGTATGACCGAACAACAAGTCGATTACATTTCCATCCGTAAGTGGAATGAGCGTCACTCCCTTCACACGCGTAGGTTTCCACAGGTACTCTGGTTTCGTCCCACGTGTATAAATACTCATTGATGGAGTTGAACTGACATCTGACTGTAGACCGGGTGTGGCTGCCTTCCCACTTGTCTGCGGTTTACCTCACCTCTGAATCACTCTCTTGAGCGTAAACAAAAACTGTTGAGTTACAAATTCTAAGTTTACGACTCTTCCCGGCTTTCCACAATTAGCCACCTCATGAAGTGACACCCTTATTAGTCAGTTTAACACGTAGGCGTTCACGACCAATATCATCCATAATATATTTACGTGATCTAACCCCAAAAAAACCTGTATATTTATGCGATCTAACCAAAAACCTTATATTATGGGCCTTTATTGGTCCTCCAAAGCCTCATTCTCCCTCACAAAAATTGAAGCGTGAAAATGCTTCCTTGTTCAACCAAGCCAGCAAGGTTGACTACATACGGTGTGAAAGAAGTTAAACAAACATACACATACATACGGTTAGTGGATGACACAAAAACAGTGGCTCTGCTCCCAGCGGTGGATTTTTATCGTGCCTCTGGCCGGGGGTATTTAATGCGTAGAACAACCAATGGTATCGCACCTCCGATGAGCACGGTTGGCTACGAACCACGCGATGTGAACTCATGGCCATTCGTGTTTGAGTCAGGCCCTGTAACCATCTTACCCATCACACTCGGCACCACCACATTAACTCCCCCGCCGAAATTCTTCTTTATCTGGGGATTTTGATGATTGCAGCGATACTAGCCTTGATTGTCTGCCTGTGTAGATGGCTCTGCTCAAATGCGTCACACGAGGAGGCGCAGTGTCTATACATGTGTAGTGACATTGCGGATGTCACTGTGCAATGCCGGCTCTAGAGAGGCACGGTGTGCGATGTATTGACATTGCGGGCACCACGTGTATGTGAGTGCAGTACCGGCCCTAGAGGAGCTCGGTGAGCGCTGACTGACAGTGCTGGATGGCACCACGCTCTGCGTGCAGTGCCGACCCCTACAGGATGGGGTGTCAGGGTGCTGGCCAAGGGAATGGGGTTACTATAGGCCATGGCACTCTGGTTGACCCTAGAGGACACGTGACCGGTAAAGTCTACACAGGGGCCCCAGGTGGGGGCTAGGGGTGGTCACGTGTCAGGGCCGAGATCCTGCTCAAGGGTTCGAGAAGGTGGTCGTGGCTAAGGGCGGCGCCAGCCCCGCCACAGAGGATATAAGCCGGCTGCTATTGTTCATCCTGAAGAATCTACATTCTACGTCCTACAATAGTCGCCAACACGTGGACCTGGACCCAGGCCAGGGTCCGGTCCGTCGAAGCTACTCCTAGGCCTCGGCAAGGTAAGGTAATTTACCCTTTTTACCCGGTAAAAGGGTAAAAGCTAAAGGTGTCGACATGCCAAGGGGTAAGGTAAAGGGTAGGGTAAAGGTAGCTCGGAAGAATTACCCAGTAGGGTAAAGGTAGCACAAAGTATTACCCGGTAAATACGGTACCTTGTTTACCGCTAAAAGCTCCGTGGCGCAGTCCGTGGCCTCCATTTAATAAGTAATATTTTTTTTTTTACTTTTTTAATAGGTAATATTTAAAAAATACTTTTTTTAAAACACGCTTTAATCAAATGTACCGTACGAGTAATGGCAGAACTACACGACTCCAGGAAGTGGCCCCGAAGCTTGCCATAATGTAAG